TGGAGCATTTTTCAATCCAAATATCACCGATCAAAAATATTGACTTTTGTGTCTTGGATGCATTCATTTTTTTTAGCACAATCTAATACAAATATCAAACTAGAAAAGAAGAGAAGCAAACTATTGTATAATCAAAAACTTTTTTTTGTTGTTGATTACAGAATGATAGAATCAGTATCATAATTTCCTGGGTTGTAAAAGGATGTAGTGATTGATGTAAAAAATATTAGTATCCAGAGTAAAAGTCATAAAGAGATGAAAGGTTACTCTCATGAGCTGTAGCTTAACAAAGAGAAAGATTAGATATGGCATCCTACCTGCTTCCTAAAAGGCATTTAGTAAAACACAGTGAAAGCCAAAGGCAGAGTCAGAAACCACACTTAAAGTACAAACCAGGCATTAAGATAAGAAATCCAATACAGGTTGTCCTTGACTTGCAATCACAATTGAGCCCAAAGGTTCTGTTGCCAAGCAAGACAGTTAAGTGAATTTTGCCCCATTTTACAACCTATCTTGGTTGTGAATCACAGCAGTAATTAAGTTAATAGCATGGGAGTTAAATGAATCTGGCTGCCCCATTGACTTTGCTTGTCAGAAGGTCATAAATGGTGCAGTGGTGGGTTTCAAAATTTTTTACTACCGGTTCTGTGGGCATGGCTTGGTGAGTGTGGCATGGCTTGGTGGGCGTGGCTTGATGGGCGTGGCAGGGGAAGGATACTATAAAATCTCCATTCCCACCCCAATTCAGGAGAAGGTTACTGCAAAATCCTTATTTCCTCCCAATTAGCTCGGACTTGGGAGGCAGAGAATAGATGTGGGTGGAGCCAGTCAGAATTTTTACTACCGGTTCTCCGAACTACTCAAAATTTCCGCTACCGGTTCTCCAGAACTGGTCAGAACCTGCTGAAGCCCACCTCTGAAATGGTGATCACATGACCTGGGATCCTGCAACTGTCATGAATACCTGCCAAGTATCTTAATTTCAATCACGTGACCATGGGAAGGCTGCGATGGTTGTAAGTGTGAAAAACAGTCATAACTCACTTTTTTCAGTGCCATTGTAATTTCAAACAGTCATTAAGTGAACAGTTGTAAATCGAGGACTACCTGTACCTATTTAAGTTCATAGGGTGGAAGAACAAAATATTATCAGATCAAGGAAATTTCAGGCTTTCCAGGAAGTTAAATAATATTTAGAGTGATTACCCAAACTCAGACTGAATGAAGATTGGGTGCTTTGATACTAGAGTCTCCTGGCTTCTTCAAACATACAGATCAGACGATGCTAAATTATTGTGAATGAACTGCCCCTTTAATTAGCAGACTAAGACTTGCCTTGTGAAACTCCTTTTTTTCCTTCTTTTCTCCACAAAAGCACAGGTACCCCTGTTCCTTTGCAGAAGCTTAATGATAAGGAACCTCTTACTCTGTCCCCAATTAGTATTTCCTATGGTTGCCTTAACTAGATGCCTGATCCCTACGCTTAACCATTTAGCTAAATCCTGACTAATAGGTAAGTCTCCTTTGTTGGTGCCTAAACTATGCAGCTATTTCCTGTCTTGTTTTCTCCTAAGCAATCTAAGCAGCCCAGAAAAGTGAAGGGATTGAGAAAGGTTGAAGGGCTCAAAAAAATGCAACTCCTTGTAAGCAGTTTCAACATGGCATTTTTTTTTTTTTTTAGTATCTCATGAACCCACAGTAGGTGATTGAGAAAGGAGTTCTCTTATATAAGCATGCAGAATCAATCAAGAAAGCTTTGATAATGGCATTTATTCTAGTTTTTGGGCTAAATTGTTTATTCTAAGATGGGAAGGAATAATCAAAACTTTTGAAGTAGTTGGGAGGGGTGTTCAACCATCGACCCCAAAATCTTTTTCAGTGAGGAAAATAGGACTGACAAATGACTTTCTAGCATCTACCTCTCTTGATAACTATGAATGTGAGAAGGAAGTTTTTCCTTCTCACATTCATAGAGAATGGCAGGTGTCTTTCTGTAACCTAAACTGGTTATCAGAAGAGCCGAGGTGGCTCAGTGGTTAGAGTGCAGTACTGCAGCTACTTCAGCTGACTGCTAGTTCAGCAGATCAGCGGATCATATCTCACCGGCTCAAGGTTGACTCAGCCTTCCATCCTTCCGAGATGGGTAAAATGAGGACCCAGATTGTTGGGGGCAATATGCTATTTAGTATACTGTCTTTGGTGCAAGCTGCCCAGAGTCCTCGGAGAGTGGGCGGCATAGAAATATGACTAATAAATAAATAATAAATATTCTGTGTTCTACACTCTGGAATACAGAGAGACCTTGATTTGCTTCCATATGACTCTTGGTTTTAAAAGTTCCAACAGTTATAATCTGCTTCTAATATGTAAAATTCCAGGAAGACCAGACAATTTCTATATGAACCATCTTCTAAAAGATCCAAAACTCTTTATCACTTGTGTAGTAGCCAAATTTGGTGTTGCCGCAATGAAAATAAGGCTTAGCGGCTTGCAGAAATAATCACTTCTTTTTGATTTATCTCTTTAGGTTTAAACACATACTGCTTATCTTGTTTTTAGATGATATATATTTTAATTCATAGTCTGCAATATTTTAGATTTATAGTTGCTTTGGTAATTAATGCACTTCTATAGCAGTGTATGTCATATTTTTATGTGTTATTTTATTCTGACTTTTCTACAGTAGATCTTCAGCGCATCAACATAGGGCCATAGTTATCCTTGTACTCCATACTTCCTGCTGGCATTTGATGTTCAGCACAAGCGTCACTCATGTGATGGAATGAAATACGTAGTAAAATAAGGGAAGACTTCTGGAAAGAAATTTCCCCAGGCAATCATACAAGACAGATATTTAGAACTGAACCTATGCATGACTAAGGATAGTGGATGAACCTTCTTAACACCATCCTTTCATGTATTTGAAGAATACTATCATATTTCTCTTCAAGCAAACATTTCCAGTTCTTCATCAGCTTTGGTTTCTAATTCATTTGTGAACCTGTGTTTTCATTTTTTTCTGAAATTGTCAAGATTTCCAATCTTTACATAGGAGGAAAGCATTTAAAGCTATAGCTAAGAGCCCTAGGTTTTCCATATTGATTGGGATCGACTATCTTGTGCTTTCCTTCATCCTTTAAAAAAGAAAATGGCAAGCAAGATAATTCTGCAAAGCAGTTGATTCCTTTTCCCCATCTTTTCCCAAATGATTCTGAAGGATGATCCAGCCTGTATGTGATGTGTGTTTCTCCAGTTATTGATTGTTCCAGTACATTTCATACAGTTAGAATGGTGAAATGGTAAGATATGACAGAACAATAAAAAGTTAAACACAGGTCACCTCCCCATTTCTTGTTATGAATAAAGAAATAAGCTTATTGTTCATGTTAACATTTGAAAGAAAAATTTAAGAGCATTGAAATTTAGGAAAACATGGACAATGCCAATTATTATGAATAATGATTACTTAACATCTGGAGTAAGAAGTAGCAAGAATGGATCTATACAGAATTTCTATTAATTATTTTTTATATTGAACAAATGCAGTATTAAGAAATTCTAATCAATTCTATCTTCCATAAAATTGGACCTTTGATTCTCTATGCCATGGAAATAGAATTGAGAAAATTATTTCTCAATTCTATTGAATTGAGAATTGATACAATTCCTGTGTATCAAGCAGATACACAGGAAACTGTTTCCATATTACAAAATTTGCATGCATTGAAACAATGATATTTCTCCATTGACTATGCCATTAAAAATAGCCCTGTATGACACTGGTGAATGATATATTAACTCTCCTGCAACATATTTAGGCACTAAAGGAAAACAACAACAGCAAAAGCTTGTATCTTCCAGACATAAGAAAGATCCTAGAACAGTAATTTCACAGGTGATATTACATTCAGACCATTCCAAGAACATATCTATATGTAAGCCCATTGACAACATGCATACAATTTTCAGTATTTCACAAACGGGTATTAACAGCTGTTTCACAGATCCTACATAAATAAATACATTTAATTCAGCAATTGGTAAGTAATCAATTGTATATTAACTTGATATACCTTTGCAAATATGAGTTTGGACCATTCACGCTTTTCACTAATACCTTTATATACATTTGAAATATATAAAAATGAAAAATGAAATGAAAAATGGTGGCGCAGTGGACTAAACTACTGTTAGCTGCCAGCTGCCTGCAATTACTGCGAGTTCAATTCTCACCACGCTCAAGGTTGGCTTATTGACCAGGCTCAATAATCTGACTTTGTATAAAATAGAACACTGCTTAGGGGGGCCCAAAAAGCCCTACTAAGCAGGTATATACAAAAGTATGAAGGCTATTGCTTAAAAAGTATTGTAAGCTGCCTTGATTCTCCGGAGAAGGGTGGCATATAAACCAAACTAATAAATAAATAAATAAATATACCTAAACATTCAAGTGAAGAGCCACTTAAAGCTCCCAAGATAAAGATAAGCAGATTGCACAGCAACTCACGAAAACAGAAACATTTACCGGTATATTTTTAAGAGTAGATTAGTCATGTTGTGGACAGAAGGTTAGAACTTCATGATAACAGAAACTAGAATGTTAGTTCAGTTCACACAAGCAGCTGGTTGCTAAGTAAAGATAATAAAACTGTGGATTTCTGAGGACTTAAACTGTAATATAGATATTACCACTTCAGTCAAGTGTTTCTTTCCATCTATGGGGTATTTTAAAAGATTCACCCATTCAATTTTGGAGCTCACAGCTCCATGAACCAAGAAATAGTTCTTTAATTATGGGATGAAACGCATTATAAATTTGAACAAGTTATTCTTCTAAAAGTCAGCCTATACGAATGAAATGGAGCCAAGATTACAAAAGAAAAATAAGTCTTTTTTGGAATATTTTTTTTATCCTTTTAAAGATGCATCTGGGTCTTGTTTAAAAGCATCAAGCATAGATTATAGGAACAGAGAAGGGGAGAAGGGAATGTAATTCTTACCTTTATTCTCACAGTCACAGTAGCAAGGCCTGGAGGCATCGTTCCTCCGACATCCAAGGCTTCCACTAAAAAAGTGAATGTTGCTTCTGTGCCAGAAAAAGATTCGAAATCCAAGGACTTTCGAAGTGACAGTTCGCCTGTAAATTTGTTCAATGCAAAAAACTGGAGTGGTCCCTGACTTCGTATTCCATAGGTAATATTGGAACCAAGGTCAACGTCCTTAGCCTTGAGGAAATGAAGAACAGGATTTTAGGGTTTACAAATTTCACCACTAAAGCATCCATCCTCTCAAAACACTTTTTGCAACATTGATTTCATGTCTTTAATGTACACACATACACCAAAACACCCCTCCAAAAAAATCATCTCCCTCAAACCCATTTATCTATATGAGGTGAGGGCATGAAACCTAAGTATCAAGAATGAGGAATATCTTTAAGAGCTGGATATTATCGCATGATGCTGTGTGAAGGCAGAATTGCTAATAAATAAAAATACCAATCGTATAAAAATGTCTGGATTCTCATGCAATTATCACATGTCATGAAATTTGGTAGTTTCAAGAGACTGACTTTTTTTTTAAAAAAAATGGAGGGATATTTTGGTAAATGTAACAAGACGGTAGTCACAAATGCTCCAGTGTTAATGCAAGCTCTATCTGGCATAGGACCCGGGTACCTTCGAGACTGTCTTCTGCCACCAATAGCCTCCCACCGACCAGTCTGCTCCCACAGATAGGGTCTCCTCAGGGTGCCATCAGCCAAGTTATGTCGGCTGGCGACACCCAGGGGGAGGGCCTTTTCTGTGGGAGCCCCTGCTCTGTGGAATGAACTGGCCCCGGAAATACGTAAGATCTCCGACCTCCGGGTGTTTCGTTGCGCATTGAAGACCCTGTTGTTCTGCCAGGCCGGGCTATCAACATAATAATTTTAAATTGGGGTATTTTAAATTTTTGGGGTTTTAAATTGGCCAAATCTATTTAATTATTTTAATTTTTAATCATTGTTGTGTCTTGTGTTTTTAAATTGGCTGTACACTGCCCTGAGTCCTTCAGGAGAAGGGCGGTATAGAAATAAAATTATTATTATTATTATTATTATTATTATTATTATTATTATTATTATTATTATTATTATCTATGATTAATGTTTTCCTTTCATTTTTTAAAGAATTGTTTTGAAGCCATTCAAATAAATATATTAAATTGTATTATACTGGTGTCAAAGAGGAATTTAAATAGCCTCTACAGATGGTTAAAATTTGCAAAGGATAGTAATATAGCTGTGAGCCAGTTTGATGTGGTGGTTAAATCAACAGGTTAGAAATCAGGAAACCTATGTACAAAGCTACCTGGGAGACTTTGGGTCAGTGACTTGTTTTGTTGCCAGAAATCAAGATTGACATAACAGCACAAAGCTATAAAAATGTAATTTAATTTAATTCAATTCAATGTTGGACTGTAAATATTTCTAATGATAACTCAAGGAATGGTTTTTCTGATTTAAAACACTGAATGTCATTATGGTTAATTAATTTAATAGTAAATCTCTTAATATTTATTAATATTTTTTTTCCTTTGGAGTGACATGATAGCAGCATTCCAGTATTTGCAGGGATGCGACAAAGAAGAGGGGGTTAACTTATTTTCCAAAGCACCAGAAGGCAAGACAAGAAACAATGGATGGAAACTAATCAAGGTGAGAAGCAACTTAGAACTAAGGAGATTTTTTTTTAACAATCAACCAATGGAACAGCCTGCCTTCAGAAGTTGTAGGTGCTCCAACACTGGAGGCTTTTAAGAAGAAGCTGGAGAGCCTCTTGACAACTAGAAGATCTCCCAAGTCCCTTCCAACTGTGTTATTCTGTATTGTTCTACAGATTACAAATCTCAGATATAGTCTGGAAACACGTGATAATGATATTACTTCTTCTTCTTTTTTTTTTTTTTGCAATTGAATGATTCTTTTTATATACAGTATATGGGAAAGTTACATGAAGAGGCTGTTTGCTTTAGTGATTAAAAGTGCTGGACTAGAAGACACTAAGTTTTAATTCTGCCTTAGGCACGGAAATGAGGCAGGTGACTTTGGACCAATTACTCTTTGTCTGTTCTAGGAAGCAAACAAGGGCAAACCACTTCTGAAAATGTTGCAAAGAAAACTGGATGGATCTGTCCATGCAATTACCAAAAGTCAAGTCTGATTCAATGAACACAAATATACATGCATACTTTATGGCATATTTTCTTAGCAATAAACGTCTTTTGAAACTCATGCCTCCTTTACCTCTAAATGAAGGAATACTGTGCCTGGGGCCAAGCTTTCAGGAATTGTAACAGTATAGGAGGCATTTGTGAACACAGGACTGTTGTCATCAATATCCAGGACTCTGATTCCCAGAGTTAATGTTGTACGACGTGCATCCACGGCTCCATCTGTGGCTTCAGCAATGAGTTCATAATAATCTTTTTTTTCTCTGTTTAGTTTCACTGAAGTGTAAATACTACCGTTGGATGTTATGCGAAAAACGTTATTAAAGTTTGCTAAACTATAATGGACTTGGCCATTTACTCCAGCATCTGGGTCAGTAGCCTAAAATATAAGAAAAACCATACATATTAAAGTTGAAAAAACTATAATAACCCATTATGCATACATCAGGATCACTTGCCTAAAAGATTTATGTGTAAAAGAAGGAGTGCCAGAACCTGGGGGTGGAGTTAAAAGAGGGATCATTCTAGAATCCCCACGTAGCCACAAGAGGACTAAGTCCAACCTCCCTTGAAATCTATGGGCCCTTATCTAACTCCAGGAAGGTGCTAACTGTTAATTAAGAAAATAGCATAGGCGAGGGCTGTCAAACTCTAGGCCTGCAGGCCGGATGCATCACACGCTGGCCATACCCATGCCCGGTTTAGCGAAGGGGAAAAAAGTCCCAATACATCACATGACACTGACGTAACGACATGAGTTTGACACCCCTGGCATAGGCTGTTTAGCAATACCTGAGTTTAATTGGATTTGCATGTGTGGACCTGGTCTTTCATGCCTGACAATATGTGGCTGAAAGTAGTTTCTAATATCAGAAAACCTTCTGTAAACCAATGAAAGCTTCTTTAATGTCTAGTGACCATTTAATTATAAGGATGGATCCAACAAGCATAGGCAAATTATATTCCAAACCACAGATTATCAGTTAGCTAGCTTTTCTTTTCAAGACAGCTTTTAAAATGTTGTTTTAAATCTTTAGCTATTTTCTCCCCTTTTTGTTTTATAAGAAATGATTAATTCCTTGCTCTTAGTTAAAAAATGAATTAATTAAGGGAAATAATTGAATATTAGATACTTCTGGAAATTATCCAAATCTTTTTTAGTTATTTTTATCTCTATAGGGTGAAGTGTTTGCTGCCTAATAAAAAACCCTAAAAAAAATCAAAGCCAGTGATCAGGTGATCCATGTGTTTCCCAGAATATAATGTATCATTATTATTAATGTGGCTTTATTTACAGGCAAGCACCAAATAAGGAAGGTCAAGTAACAACATATTTTTTTAAAAAAGAGAAAAACAAATCAAGTACAGAAAAGACTAAAAAAATAACAACTATATTGTCAAGTTCTAATCCAATGCCTCCTGATGGCAACTACAACTGAACAGAATTTGACTATTTTCATGGATGAAGCGATGGAATGATGCCCTATTAGAAAATACCACACATCCTCTAAAGGCCAGCTTAGAAAGAGATTCATTGGTTTATTGTCACCCAACCTGCCAGATTGAAACTCTAGGTAGCATAGAACTACAGTATAGTTTTAAAAAATCACAATATCTTAAGAACATCACCAACAAAAACTGCAGAAATGAAACAAATCACATAATTGGGTCATAATCATATATATTCAACTAGGATAAGTCCATCTATCATCAAGGGCACAACTCTTTCTGGAACATGCAGGCTTCAGACTCTTCTTGAAGGCTCGCAGTGTTGGGATCAGTAGAATTTTGGGCCATAGATTATTCTCTTTTCACAATTGAAAAGATGCATCTCTTAGGTCTCGTTTGATGGTACCGTGGTCACTCTGTTGGAACACATAGGACAGGAAGAAACAACTCCACAATCCCTTAAAAACCTGATCATGTGCCATGAAGGGCTTATTATTTTGTAGTGCCAGATGGAGTAAAAATGCATCAAAAGCATAATGCAAGAACGCACAACTTTTTCAACAGTCACATCCCTTTCAACATCCTAAAGGTTTAAACACTAGAGGTAAAACATTTTAACTTTTACTAAGGTAAAGGCTCTCTTGTATATAATAGAGACGATCAAAACAATTGGTCTAGAAGACCATGTCAGAAAAGCTTCCATTGTGGGATTCATTTTGTTTTCATTGCCATGTATAGTTGAGGGCACATACTGGTGCAGTATCTGATTTTTAAAAAAAATATAAACGATGCTGCGCTTCAATGGTTAGATGGCTTAGACATTGGTATTTGAACATAGATCTTTTTAAAAAATTTATATTTTATTGTGTTTTACTAATCTAGGTGAAATGTTAATCTATATTGTTAGTACATGTATGATATGCCATGCACTGAATGAATGAATGAATGAATGAATGAATGAATGAATGAATGAATAAAATTTGAGACTCTGAACCTTAACTCGGTCTCTTTCCAAGTCTAGATAGGGAACTTTTGGATCTCAGCCAAGCAAAATCAAGCTATGAATTGAGAAAACACAATAGGCTAAATTATTGGCTATACCTCTTTTCTAGGAAGAATAATATCTGTCAGTATGGACAAAAGAACTAAGACAACAAAAGATTAATTTTGTCTAGGATTAAAACAAAATGTCCAAGCAAAAATAGAAGATAGGAAAATGTCTAACACCAATTTTACTTTTTTTAAAAAAAGTGTATTTTTTCCTGAATTTCTAAACATTCCAAAATAGCTATTCTGTCAATTGTACACGGCTAAAATCCATCCCTGCTATATTAATGAGACCTGCAAGAGAATTCTCTATGGTTAGGAAGCAATTAGGGTGGGTTTAAAAAAAAAAATATTAGAACTCAAAAGAAGTTTGGATATAATGCAAAGAGAGGGATGAAAAAGTAGATCACGATCACAGGCACAATAGTCCAGTACTGCAACACTATATTACTTTTTTTTCAATGTGTGCTTCATGACTAAGTGTCATACGCTATGATAAAAATCACAGTACTGTAATATTAAGAATCTTTTTGCCAACTCCACATGACATGTAAGGGGAAAAAAAATTCCATGTGAAAAGAACATATAAAGTTGACTTGTATAAGTCAGGTCTTTGGTTCATCCAGCATCACACTGTCTACTCTGAATTGAAGTTCTCCAGCTTTTAGACTAGTGTCTTTCACTGCTCTCTCTACAGTACCCAAGGATTAAAGTCTAGGCATGCCAAATGGACACTTGGTCATTGAACTGTATCCCCTTTCTTGTATCTTGAAACACTACAAGAACGTTCCCTTAAAAGTAACATCAGTGAATATCTTTTGTAGGAGGATGGAAATAGGGATAGAGTTCAGCACAGTATGGTCGCTCCATTTTTTCATGTCCATTTTTTCATCAGCTGGTACAGCTTTCTACACTTTGCAATTTATATCACCCATGGTGATTTAAAACCTGTCTTCATTAGTAATCTATTATGACAGCTACAACTGCAAAGGTGTTATAAATTGTTAATGATGAAATGCTTAAATATTAGTGAATTTCATACTGCACAAATGCTTTTGGAGCTTCATGTTTGTTTCTCAGACTGGATATGTATTTCTTCAAACATATTTAATACAAAGAACGGATTTATCTTTTCTGATAATTCTGGTAGCTGACCATATGATGCAGCAAATCTATCACTGTAGCCCACTGAAGACAAATTAGGCTTATCCACACTTACCCAGTTAGTTAAAGATGAGCTATAAATACTATTTTTCTACCTCTGATTAAAATCCTCAGTGGCAGAAATCAGAGAAATTTGTCCAAGTACAAGTAGTCCTTGACGTATGACCACAATTGAGCCCAAAATTTATATTGCTAAGTGAGAGATTTGTTAACTGAGTTTTGCCCTGTTTTACGACCTTTCTTGTCACGGTTGTTAAGTGAACCATTGCAGCTGTTAATTTGTCAATACTTTAGTGTTCAGTGTCTCTGGCTTCCTCATTGACTTCGCTTGTCAGAAGGTCAGAAAAGGTGATTTACATGACCATGGGAACACGACAATAGTCTTAAATATGAACAAGTTGCCGAGTATCCAAATTTTGTGAAAAAGGATCGCAAATCACTTTTTTCAGTGCCGTTGTAACTTTGAACGCTAAATGAACTGTTGCAAACTAAAACTATGCTTGATATCAGTCACGGACCGATAGCAATAGCGATAGCATTTAGCTAATGTAGCATCACCTTATGCTAAATAAATAAATTTTCTCTCCTCTTCCTCTTCTCTTCTCTTGTCTTCCTCTCTCTCTTCTCCCATCTCTTCCCCCCTCCCCTGCCCTCTCCTTTCCTCCCCTCCCCTTTCCCTTATTTCCCTTTCCTTTCCTTCCCCTCCCTTCCCTTCCCTTCTCTTCTCCCCCTTACTTAAATGAAGACACTTTCAATTACCCAGTAGCTCTTATGAAGGGCAGGCCTCTATAAGACAATTCTACCTGCATATACTTATGAAAGAGCTTCCTGATGATTTCAAAAGATAAGCAATAGAAAGTCCCTAATTATCCATAGTGCTGTCAGGAAGTTTTCAAAGGCATTTAATATCCTGCCACGGTGCTCAGTGTGAACAGATAATAAAACCATTTATCCTCATGGAAATCAATTAAAACTTAATTAAAACAGTTAATAAAAATCATATAGTTGTCTCCTTTCTACACTCCATCAATACAATAGATGTTAACAGTTTCACCATTATTTCTACTTCGCTGTTAATACATCTTTACAAACAATTTCTTAATAGGGATGACTATATACCTCGACTTCCTTGGCAACTGCTTCGCCAATCAGCGAATCAAAAAAATCAAATCAGGCTGAAAAATGTATCACTGCTTTCCTTGGCCTATAGAAACACAAATACAGCCAAAGCAAATGATGCATGGGTATGATGAAAGGCTTCAGTTTAGGAAAGCTTGCTGTAGATCTTCCATGGCATCAGTTGTTAGACATGACTGATATCCAGCAGCATGTCTAAATAAGAGGTGAACTCCAAAACATGGACATAAGGATATATTTCAGAATTATCTAACCTTCACCTTTGAAAAGCTGGAAAACTTGACTGAACCAATAAATAAAACTTTTGTACTCATTCAAGCTAGTATTTTAGTTCATCTTTGCCAAGACTGATTATACTGGAAAAAGCGGCATGGTGGACTAGCGGCGAAGACTTTTGCCTCCCACTCCAAAGGTTTAGAGTTCAATCCTAGGTAGCGGCAGATGTTTTTCTTCTAGGTCACAAAGAGAAAATGCTGCAAACCCCATTTGGCATCAGGAAGGGCATCCAGCCAGTAAACGCTCAGCTCCATTCAGTCACCTCTACCCTGAATTAAAGGATTACGGGATTGTAAAAAGGGAGTT